GGTATAACAACTTGCAGGAGAAGCGGAAAACGGCCCTCCCTTTGCTCTTGTTGCATTTTGTTTTTTTCTTTCTTCTTTTCTTTTTGCCTTCCCAAGTCAACGTACCTTTTTCCGTTTTCGATGCCGCTGCGTATGCTTCCTCGAAGTCTTTTGTCTCTCTCTGTGTGTTGCATTTGTGGAACCGCGCACGCACGCACACGAGCGTCAATGATCAATTAATATGTGCTTCTCTGTGTTAATTTGTTGCATTTGCGGAAGTTGCTGTCAATTTCCATTTTTCAATGACCCTCATGTTTTTCCTTCCTTAAGCCACCCTTTTTTTTTGTGGGACAGTCATGGATGGGTTGTTCAACAACAGCGGCAGGTACTTAGCCTTGTTTTGGTGGAATGGGGAACCCATGCACGCATGCTGCATGCATGCATGTTGCCGTTGTTAAACGGACGCCGTGTTTGAACAGAGCCTCGTTCGGCATTGTGAAACGCTGTTCCCAGCTATCATTTTCTTTTCTTGTTTGWTTGATTTCTCATCTTTCCAATCCGATTGGACAGAGCGGTGTGGGGAGCGGCCTGATTACTTCTACYTTTCCTTCGAAAGGCCACAGTAGGGCTTCGGGGGACAACCGCCGTCCAAACACGCGATAAAGAGGTCGGGCGGAGTTCATCCACTCCGTTGGACCCTGAAGCAGCAACTCMCWGGCTGTCTCCTTGGTTKCTTGCTTGATTCATTGCTGGGATAAGTAATCGATCGGCCATATCTACCAACCATCCCTTGATCGACGTCTCCTATAGCGCTCGTTGGCTTGTGCTTGATTGGCCGATTGAACGAACGGCTGATTTATTGATTGATTCATTGGTTGGCTGATTGATTGGTTCGTTTTTAATGCAGGTACGACACCCGGCCAGTCAAGACGGTAAACTCTGCACACTGCTCGATTCAGATAGGCGGTGGCTGGAACCAGGCAAAATGCCAGCACAATCTTTATGGCAATGGCAGGCACATCGCATCTCGCACATTCAACATGGAGAGCACAGCCGTCTTCCTCAACACCTGCATCAAGATCCAAATCAGCGCAGCACAGTATGAGGACGGTGGCAACTTCAACAACGGTAACAACAACCCGAGGTCCTGCATCGTCGTCAAGACGGCAGGAAGCTTTACGTAAAACGGCTGAGACAATCTGCGTAATGAGCTCAGTGGAACCCAAAGAAGAGAGAGAGAGAGAGAGAGAGAGAGAGAGAGAGAGAGAGAGAGAGAGAGAGAGAGAGACAGAGACAGAGAGACAGAGAGACAAACAGAGAGAGAGACAGAGAATAGTCAGCTTGATGAAATAGGGAAGGAAGATTTGAAGACCTTTATTTTCCTGTGTCTGTGGGTGGCGGCAGAGAGGGATATTGCCACGTATGCCCAGTGGCATTAGCAAAATCAACATTAATCAAGTGCACTACCCTAAGTACCCTTGTTTTGGTTATTATATGGGAGCGCAAAAATTAAACTTCTTCAAAGATGTGTACAGGATTTTGATCAGTCTTCGGTGTGCTCCTGCATGACTCTCACTCTGTGTGTGTGTGTGTGTGTTTGTGTGTGTGTGTGTGTGTGTGTGTGTGTGCGGGTATAGGAGTGTGTGTTGATTTGCCGAGGTCAGGTGGGGGGTATCATTGAGGTGTATTGAGAGGGTAAGATAGTGGATAGTGGAGAGGGGTGATTGCAGTAAGTGTTCTTGGGGTAGGGGTTGTATGTGCGAACGTGGGATGGTGTGAGTATGTTTTCCGAGGTGTGGGGGGATCTGGGTTTAACCGGGTGCGCAGTTGTATAGCGGCATGTTTTGTTGGTATGTGACGAGTGCTGCAGAGGGAAGCTGTATGTTTCCGCAAGTGGTTTTCGGACGGGAATTGCAGCAGTGTGAAGGTGTCGTGGAGTGGTGTGCAGTCGCTACAAGTGGTGTTGGGGGTTCTTTGTTTGTTAGTGCGAGTTTGAGGAGTGGCGTGTTTTGTTGGTGGTGAGTCCGGATGGGATTCTTGTTGGGTTGTAGATGGCCGGTGGTGTGGTGTCGTTTTGTGTGTGTGTGTGTGTGTGTGTGTGTGTGTGTGTGTGTGTGTGTGTGTTTGGCTTTAGTGTTTTGCCCGTGTGGTGACGTTTCGTGCTTGTGGAATGTTTTCTCCATATGGCTATTCATACGTTAAAGAAGTTTTTGTAGGCGGGGGTTGTGTGAGATTCTGTTTTTATTTTTATTTTTATTTTTATTTTTATTTTTTTAAATTTTAATTTTAATTTTAATTTTACTTTTACTTTAGCTTTTACTTTTACTTTACGTTTACTTTTACTTTTACTTTTAATTTTTATTTTTATTTTTGGAGGTGGGTTGTTTTGGGAAGTTCTTTTCAGGGGGTGGTGGGTGGGGTATGCGAGTTTAAGCGGAAAGTTATGGTGAGGGGGGTGATCTTCGTGTGGTGGATATCATCGAGTTGGTTTTTCGCATCTTTATGTGTGTGTGTGTGCATATGAGAGTGTGGGTGTGAATCAGTATGTGTGTCTGTGTGGGTATTTGTGTGTGTGATTGTTTGTGGGATTAGTATTTAAATTGTATTAATGCATGTATGTGTGTATGTGTGTGTGTGTGTGTATGTGTGTGTGTGTGTGTGTGTGTGTGTGTGTGTGTGTGTGTGTGTGTGTTTGGGAGAGAGAGACAGAGAGACTCCAGTACCGATCGCAGCAGGAGCGAGGCACTAAGCCGCGTGGAGTACCTGTCGCCATAGCCAGTTTCGTCAGGGGAGCGGTTGTTCTCGTTTTTTTTTTTTTTTTTTTAAACTACGGCACAGAGAGAGAGAGAGAGAGAGAGAGAGAGAGAGAGAGAGAGAGAGAGAGACAGAGAGAGAGAGGGTGTAGGGCGGGGCTCGTGGGGCGCCAGGCTTGATCAACGTCAGCAAACCGATCTTGCTCCCCTTTTCGACCCCGCTGCCCCTGGCTCGCTGTCCAATCCGGCTACCACCACAGCCCAAAACTGGGAGAGACAATGCCTTTCTCGGCCGTTTGGCTAAGATCAAGTGTAGTATATCTGTTCTGATCAGTTWAATATCTGATCCGTGGTCCATCGGACCACACGATATTAAAACTGKGAGAGCCGCTACAGGTCCCTGCATTCGACGGGTAACGGCCGCACCTCCCTGTTTTGCGGATTTTGAACTCGCAGTTATTTCCTGTTTTTTTTTCCCCCCACCCATTTCTTKGGAATTTTTAACTCGCAGTTATTTCCCATGCTCTAAATTATACCTTCAATGGGTTCCACAGGGCCTCTGTGTAGAAGCACAAAATTATGGYATGTCCGTAATTTTGAGCATTCTGGTACCCACAATTTGTGGGTATCCACCTTGGCGCACGGCGGTCCCAGGCATGGACACAATTCCCATGGGCCGTTTACCAGGGATAGACGCAAGTTGCACACTGCCATTGGGTATAAGGGAATTCCCACTTTGAACAGAGTACAGATGCAAGTTTMTCTAAAATTTAAAGAAAAAGGGCAGGACACTTACTGCCAAGGACACAGCWTGAGGTAAACAGCTGGCTTTTTGTCCACAGAAAKTCACCCGCTGGAAGAACTGAATCCTGGCACCCTCTGCCTAAACAGGAGAACAGAGTTAGGGGTGGACCCCAYGGGCTCGGTGGACAGGCTTTTAAAGCATRTACCCATCCTGGACTTTTGCGAACAATGTCATACTGGCCAAACCCAAGGTCGATCATCAGGATTCTTAAAATGTGGCCATACATGATTCTTAAAATGTGGTCATACATTCTTCCGACTTGTGGTCAGGAAGCAGCCGGTGAAGTGGGACCTCGCCACCTCTGCACTGTACCAGATTCACAGGTTGAACATGATTGGGTTGGAGCTTATTTCCAGATCAGAGGTCCCGGCTTAGATGCAATGGGTTCGCGGTGTGACCTGCGATGGATTCGCGACATGACCTACCGGTTGGATGGAGTTTGTAGTGAAGCCAGACGTCATTTATTTGTGAGTCTGAGATGCACTAGGGAGAATTGTGCAGATGGGAAAAAAGGGAGAAAGAAGGATTACAGGCAGCAGGGAGAACAACAGAAAATACCAAGGATGAATCTGGATGATCTTTTTTCCACTCGTAGTGTATTGAATTTCCTAGTAAAGTTTTCCAATAGACTGAGGTGCGGTCAGGTGCATCCAAAAGAGTGCCACTGTGACTGAACACACACTGTAGAACGTTTTGAAGGAATACCACAKMTTCCTCGATCTGTCAGACAATCTTCCAGAGGATCTTCCATGTTTGTGTTCGGCCCTAGTCCCCACAGTCCCTCGCCTAGCTGCCCACCATACGGTTGTGTAGTTGTCAGGATGTCCTTCCATTCTTGTGGTATGCTCTGGAGTATCCTGCTACTCTCTCTGATACCATCCTACATATATGCTCGAGTGTGGCCATGAGTTCCACCTGAGCGCTTGTGGTAACCGCTGGGCTCGCCTAGGGATGCAAAGATGGCATAGTCGGCGCGGTCTTTTCTGCTGTGCACAGAGTACCTTCCAGTCGCGTTATGGGTCAAATATTTTTGCCACGGTCAGTGGGTCACTATCAAAAGAAAAAGAAAGAACAAAGAAGAAAAGAGAAGAAAGTGTACTAAGGGAGAAAAGTGAAATGCTGCGCTATGATCTATAGTTTTTTGGATCTAAAGGCTTCTAAAGGCTATAGACCATCGTGTCATTATAACTTTCCGCAGTGAGTCTAAGGGCCTCGTTAGACGCTCCTTATGAGTTCCTTGAGCCACAGGGAAATTTGCGGCATCGTTCCACGCATCCTTGGGGACGTCCCCCGAGGAAGTTTCCTTGTGGCATGGGCGGGGCCGTTTTCATACAAAAATTTGTGGCCGCGGGGTCGGTTGTCCGTGGTTCATCATTTCTTGTCCTTGTGGAGGCGGCGTGGTCCAGCGTTGTTTGGCGGGAAAGGGCATGGGGCGATCCATGGGATAAATACAAGCAGGGGGCCTCGACGTCCGAAATTCAAATTTCAAATGACGGCAGCGACAAGGACAACGACGTTCAGCTGGCGGTGTGACGCCCAACCTCACGCCCAGCGCGACTTCCTGATCGGAGTGGCCTGGAAGTGCGAAAAGGGGTGTGCCAAGGATTTTTGGGAAAGTGGAGTCCCAGGTCAGAACTGAGATCTCCTGTGACAGGGTCTTTCGGGGGCACGAGTGCAATTTGGCGAAGAGGGCGTTTTCGGGTACAAGGCGGATGGCATGCACGGTTCGCTCAAGACCGAGCGAGCCATTGGTTTCGGGGACGGCGGTTCATGGGCTGGCCCCTTCGGGGTAGGTGGGGTTCCGAGGAGTCCGTCTGTCGGCAGTTGCCACGTGGCGCTGATCGTCGCGCGTGCGGGTTAGGCCTTCGGAACTCCGGGGTTCTCTGATCGCCGCGTCGTCGGCAGTTTTCGCAGGGTGTGCTGGGCCAGTAAGGGGCTATGGCCGGCCACGGAACGACACTGAGTTGATGGTACGGAAATAGAAGGCGGAAGGGACGGAAACTAGTGGTGATGACGACAAATCCCGGGTGGATGAAGTAGTAGGTATGGTCGGGAGAAGGGAAATCAGAGCACCGGGGGTCGCTAGAGGTGGCGCAGTGAAATTCCCGAGGACATAGTCGATTCTCAGTGTGGCAGGGGTATCGTTGCTTTAGGATTTCTTTTATCCAAGGGGTGAAATAATCCGGGTCGTAGGATGAGTCGGAATTCCAGGATCGCGTCATCATGTCATTGCGGTATTATGAGTTGCCTAAGGACGGGTCCGCGGCGATCGCGGTCGTCGCGTGCGAGCGTGTGCAGGCCGCACGAATGGCGTCGGACTTACGCGTGCTCGTGCGGGACGATTGGGCCGTTGCGGATTCCGAGATGACCACTTCCAATCGGACAGATTGATGGCCCCGATGAGTCGACGCCCGGGGATACGTGTAAGTGCGCAACTCCGATCACGTTTTACACGTGTCCTCGCGCGGCGTTTCACCGAGCCCGGCATCCGACCGCCTAATCACTCCGTGATGTTCTGAGTTATGCAAGACGCAATGATCACAAAACAGCTGGATCTGAAGACAAGCAAACATACGGACAGAATCAACAATTGTACAAAATTCCTAGTCTATGCACGGGTGCATCAAACACGACGGATAAAAGAAAAGACAAGAGATTTCCCGCAAAAGGTCAACAAGCAAACATAGCCTCCGTACATTTGTATCCTCAGTAATCATACACACGATACCTCAAAGGCAAGGACAGAGATAAAAAAGAATCGAAACACGGCATCCATGGGAATCGCAAAGACAAGTGTGAGCACAAAAATCCAAGTCCGGGTTCCGAAAAAAACAAAAGGGAGAACAAAAACGGGCGGATCGCCCGAAGCCGTATTCAAAACTTATATACACGAGACAAGGGGAAGAAGAGACAAAAGAAGCAGCAACTCCGTATCCATCAACCTCAACTCTCTCTTCCTCTCTCTCATCTTCTCTGATGCGGACAGTCCGTCGTCGCGCACCAACCCACGAAGCCGTCACCCCGCTTAGTCCTCCCGCACCCGTCAGGTCCGTCCACGCCCACAGTCCCTCGTGGCCCGCGTCAACCCCGTGCGTTTGGCACCAGCTCCTCGGGTCACCCGACTCTTACTCTACTCACCTCTTACTTCGCTCGTGTGCCGACCCTTCCTGATCGCGCAACCCCGAGCTTCCAACAGCTGGTTAAGAGAGTTAACTAATCGCGCAGCCGGAATTTATAGCATGCATGCATGCGCGAAGAACACGGAATTACAAGGACTTAGAAGAAGGGAAGGAGGAGGAATTTGCCTACGTCAGCATGGTCTGATCGCGGCGTGGGGGTCGTAGCCGCTCTCCACGCATCGATCCGATCATGCAGACCGCGGCTACCAACAGCGCAGCAAAAGAAAGAGAAGGAGGGCGAGAAAGACAAAGCGCAAGAAGAAAGATACAGTTACAATGGCGCCCGCCCAAAATTACAGTTACGCACACGATTAAAGGCGCGTACTAATCAGAGTTCCGTTGCAGCCGCATGAAGAAGCGCGTAGACAAAAGGCGTCGCGCGGCAAGAAAATTCCTAATTCCTAAATTCCTAAATTCCTATCTAATGTGAAGAAGCAAAAGCAAAAATTCCAGAGGCAAAGTCCGAAATTCCGAGAGTCATCGGGGCTCGACAAAAGTCGAAAAAGACTCAAAAGAAAAATTCAAAAAGTGCGAAGCAAATTCCCGCGCGATGTCCGCGCCCAAAAGTTTGGAACCGAGACAAAAGAAACGACGTCAACATTTATTAATCGCGCGAGCAGTGGCGCGCCAGCCATCCAGCCGACCAATCAATCAACCGGCCATCCCAGGACACACCCAGCTCTGAACCCAGCCGTTCGAAAAGAAGCGACGAAAAAGACGAAAAAGCAAGGACACTGATGCAATTTCCCACCGATCCCCATCTCCCGTAATTGGTCCAACCTTCCCAACTTAGGACCCCTCATTGCAACCGCGCAGAAAGTTGCGCGTTACAGAAAGTGGTTCGTCACATATGTGACGCCCAGGGGGTTCCAATATTAGCAAGCTCCTGCTTGGTTGTTGACACGTGTCGATTTCTCTAATAGATTGACACGCGGGGCATCTCTCTCTATGCCACGTACCGTTCAATTGAGGGTGGACGTCATCCAACGTGGCAACACTGCTCTTCTACCAATTCCTCAGGGTGGGCTTTCGACATTCCAAGGAGGGGATTACACGTGTCGACATTATGACATGTGTCCATTAGTCATGCATCAATGCAAACAGGAGCGTAGACCCTAGACCCTAGACTTTCTCGGGGAATGGCAGTCGAATCATCGAAGGTGGAGGTGGCGGATGGTTCAGGGGGAGAGGGGGCATGAATCGATTGATGGTGGGAGAGGCGAAATCAGGAAGGGTAGCGTAGTGGAAGGAGCGATGGATGCGGGGGAAGCGAGGGACCTTATGAAGATGGCGAAAGGCGGCGATGTAGTCGGGGTAGATGGTAGAGAGGGTCCATCGGAGGGCGGCGCAAAAATCTTCGTAGTTTTCGCAGGCAGGAATAGTCCCAGATATAATACAGTATATTTCTACGTGGTTATATTCCCGCCAGTCTGCGCTAAACAGAAGCATATGAAGGAGAAAGGAATCAACCACAGAGCGGGTGGTGGCATGCGGATAAACAGAGACTAGAAGGCGGGTAGCGTAGACATGGTAGAAGAGGTGATGGGGGAAAGGACACCAACCATCGGGGAACGGGGGTCTATCGGGAAGACGAATAAGCATGAGGTAGTCACAGGGTCGGCGAGAGAACGACCGGGGACGAAGCCCGAACGTCGAGATCTTGATGTAGACGAATGGAGGACCGGGACGGGGAGCCGGAGGGAGCTGGCGATTCACTTCTTCTTCTTCTGCTCCGCGATCCCTCTCCTGCGGTTCCATCGTTTTCTTCTTCTCGCGGCTCCGGATCACGCCACGGGTCCCCGATCGACGGATCGACAGGAGAAACGTTTGTCGTGGGTCGCTTTCCCTCCGCGGTCTCCCGGCGCTTCCGTTTCCTCTGCTCTTGTGCTCGTTCTCGAGCCGCGTCGCAAACCTCGGCCTCGAATCCTTCGTACTCCGACTCCGCTTGCTCGTTTTCTTCTTCTTCTTCTTCGTCTGGTTCTACCTCTTCCTCCTCTTCGTTCTTTTCCCGCGGCTGGCTCGATCCGTCGGCTATCCCCGCTTCTTTTACCGGTACGTAGTCTGGATGGTCCCGCTCTTCACTTGATGGCTCCTCTCCTTCCTCCTCTTCCTCTGCTTCCCCTATCTCCTCGTCCTGCGCCGCATTTCTCCTTGCGATCAATTCCCAAAATGTGAGATCGGTAACGTCGATCTCCAAGTAAAGCGCCTGGGAGGGGTAGAGACAGTTGTCCTCGTCGATCTTCGTACACGTGGACCACACAAGGTGCGGCTCGAGCGTTCAAGACAGCACGTGGGTGTCAGGCTGGTTGTCACTGCGTGACAAGATGTTCAGGGGCAGATCGTCCACCAGCTGAGTCAGAAACACCAGCAACTCGTCCGTGATCAAGGTGAGATTGCCCTCCTCCACCTTCCCGAATACGAATCCCAACAGATCGCCCTGCTCCGCCGTTCTCTTGGCTTGGATGATCAGCAGCTCCACGCTGTCCTCTGGGTGCTCTGGTCCTTGCCCGAACGGGGCCGCTTCTGACCAGCGGAACTCTATCTCCAATAGGCAGAAAGCAAGCTCGATATAGTCCTCCCACCACGCGTCCCACTTCTCCTCGCTCAATAGCGGTGCACTGTTCTCCTTAACACGGTAGGAGAAAGTGGGAGCCCGCGCAGACTGCCAAAGGGTGGGGATGCTGGAGGGGAGGCCAAAATAGGAGACGCGACGATGACTCATTGGGGCGGCGCGGAGGGACGAGGCTCCGGAAGCACGATCGCTGGCGAGCTTCGAGACGAGCGGAGCTGGAGGTCCGTGTCATGCGCCGGCACGACGGTATCCCCTCGTCGAGCCACGAGATCTATCCACGTTGTCCGCACTTCCCCAGCCCAGGCGCGCAACGTCCTACAGATGTCGGAATGATTCGCCGGCGGATTCACTGTGATATCTCCTGTAAAGACGACGACGACGGCGATATGGCTAATCCCGGGAGGGGATAGCCGTCGGAAGGCCAAGATCTCCGCCAGAACGTGCGTAGTTGCCTCTTCCGTGAATCAGAACTCTGTCGCCGCGTAGATCGCCGCCGTGCTGAAGAAAGCTGCAAACCGGAGGAGATCAGAGCAGAGATGGGGCCGCTGCACCTGCCGTATGACACTGATTCGCCCCCGCAGAGTAAGAAGCCACGCGCCGATCACTTGCTCCGTTGCAAAGCTCATGGCGATGGTGATGGGGTAATAAAGAAAGAACAAGAAGGAGACGGAGAGATAGGAGAGAGGTAGTCGTCGCCTTCCTCCGCAGTGGAGGAGGAATCGGGTGAATGCGAAGATGGAGAAGGAGGAAGGGGACAGAGGTAGGACACGTGGCGGATGATCGGGCAAGCCGATCGGCTGCCGGAGACCTCACGCGCAAGTCGCACGATGTTCACGCCGTTCGGTCTGAGTTCGATCACGCGAAATCACCCGAAGAATCATGGCGTTAGCTTACCCTGGCGAGCACATTTCCTCACCTACACGATGTCCCCTACTTTGTATTGGGGCCGTGGGCCTGCATTCCCATTCCGGGCCTCGTAGCTTCGGACCTATCGTCCTTGGGCCAATTCGGTCATTCTATGTCATTTTCGGGCTAGCCTGGGGAGGGACCGTTCCATTAGTTCCAAGTGTCGTTTGGCCTTGTCCCGAGCCATGACCCTGGTGGATCTTCGATTAAGTGTAGATTCATCCGGGAGGCTTGGTATCGAAACGCAGGCGAGGCTACCGGTCCTTAATTGGAAGGGGCTTAGCCCCGTCGATTCATGAGGTGTACCACGATGGACCGCCAGGATGTGGTCGACAATATCGGGCCAGGGCTTCGGATCCCGTGCCGCGATATTCCGTCGCAACGCTGTCTTTATCACCCTGTTCGCGTTTTCTACCAGCCCATTGGACTGTGACATGTGGGGTGCAGTACTCCGTATGGCGACGCCATGTATGATCAGATTCCTCAGTACCTCTCCCCTAAATTCAACCCCGTTATCGGTCAGGATCTCTTTCGTATCCTGGTGCATCCCGAGAAAGAGGTTGACGTATCGCGCGATTTCGACGGCTTGTCGCGTGCGATAAGGGTAGGCCTCGATACATTTCGAAAACTGGTCGGCAAATACCAATAGGACTGAACACTCACAACTATTAGGACCAGGGGGCACCACTATGTCGGTAGTGTCCATGCTGACTCTTTGAAATGGTAGTGTCCATGCTGACTCTTTGAAATGGTAGTGTCCATGCTGACTCTTTGAAATGGTCGTTCAACTACCGTTGGTACTATCGATCTTGGCCACTGAATCGGCGTCTTATCAGCGGCGCAGACTTGACAGTTGGCGACGATGTACTTCACATCGTCGCGGATATTGGACCAGTACCACTCATTTTTGTCGATAGCCACCTCTGTGATCCGTACGGCGAAATGAGCCGCAGTTTCTTCATGTGCCGTTTTAACCCAGTCATACCTCATGAACGGATGCGGTACAACCATCCAAATCCCACTGCCGTCTGTTTTCCGTTTTTCTAATTTGCCCTCTATCCATCTGTAATCCCGAGCCCTCTCGTTGGCCCTCCTCCGATCTTCCTTGGTGAAATCCTGGAGGGGGTTGCCAACTAGGGTGGCAATCAAGGCAATATATGTCTTTACGTCGGCCCTTCTAAAGCTCCGGGTCTTTTCCAACCCTTCTGACATGGCATCCAAAAAGCGAGCCTCGGTCGGAATCTTGTCTGTCCGACACAAGAGGCACAACCACGGTTTACTATCATTTCTGTATTGGATGCACGAGCCATGGGCTCGTGCGACACACTAATATCGACAATCTATCCAATCCGCATACCCTTCCCCGTTAGGACGCATGGAGACCGAGTACACGCGGGAGATAGCCTCGCAAAAATAGCAAAATTTGTCAGGCAGGGAGAGAAGAGACGAAGAGGAAAGGGGAGAAAGAGAGGTAGTGGGGTTACCTTCGTCACCCATTGTCACCGTTTTGCTTCTTGCCACGTGGGAGAACTGCCACTTGTCCGTACTTAGCAGGTCGATGCAGATGTGTCTGTCCGTCCGCATTGCCGTGTCGCTCCATCTCTCGATGGACGATATCGAAGTCGTATTTGTAGTCGCACCGCCCAACGGTCAATCATGCCCGTGTAATTAGTGAGTTTCTTCAATGCCAGCAAAGGTTCGTGATCTGTTACGAGGCGAAACTTCTGTCCGTAGAGATACGGATGGAAGTGTTGGATTCCCCAGACTATTGCATAGCATTCGCCTTGAGGTGGTAAGTCATTCCTCCGTTTGTCCGGTACCGTGCGCGACGCGTATTCGATGACGTGTTCACGACCATCGTTCCCCTTCTGCGCTAGAATAGCGGAGATAGCTTCCGGTTGCCAGTCCGTGATGAGAATGAATTGTTTCGAAGGGTCCGACCGAATCAAAATAGGGGCTGTCACCAGAGCGTCCTTGAGGGTTGCGAAAGCCTGTTGGCACCCTGCGTCCCAGCTGAGAGGCTGGTCCTTCCGCAGCAGGTTCGTTAACGGTCGCGCAATCGCTGTGAAACCCTTGATGAATCGACGATAATACGACGCCAACCCTAAGAAGGCTCGAACCTGCGCAAGTGACGTGGGAATTGGGGCTTGTCTTACCGCCGCAACCTTTCTTGAGTCCGGCCCCAGTCCTCCACGTGTCACGACATAGCCCAAGAACGAAATTTTCGAGAGAAAAAACTCGCTCTTTTCGAGCGCGAGCTTGAACCCAACGTCTCTCAGCGCTCCCAATGTCCACTCGACGTGTTGCGCGCGCCCGTGATAGGTCTCCGAGTAGACAAGGATGTCGTCCATATACACGAGCACGCAGAAGTTGATCATCCCCTGTGTTAGTCAGGTCTTGTTGATGAAGTTTTGGAACGTCATGTTTATTGCTCGCTGAAACGTGGCAGGCGCGTTGCAAATCCCCATCAGACACCGAACCCACTGCCACGTGCCTTAAAATAACACGAAAGCCTTTTTTGGCGATCTTCCTCCTTTACTAGAATGTGATGGAAGCCATGCCGAATATCGAACTTGCTAAAATAATTGGTGCAACCAATCGCATCCAGCAAATCATCAATTCGGGGGAGGGGATACACATCTTTAATCGTGATTTCATTCAACTTGCGATAATCGATGCATATGCGAATTGATCCGTTTTTCTTCGACAGTAATACCACGGGAAATGACCATGGTCTGGTGGCGGGTTCTATCCATCCGCTGGCTTCGAATTCCCGAATTCGTTCGAGAGCCTTTTTGCGCTCTATCAAGGAGTATCGGTATGGTTTGCAGTGGATCGAGGAGTGATTCCCCGTCTGTATTTCGTGTTGAATGACTAGTGACAAACCAATGTCAGCGTCTGTTACGCTGATCGCTTCTCGATATTCCGTCAAAATGTCCGCAATCAACCGATGAATCTCATCGGGTACGTACTGTGGCACATGTAACTTAAAGAGTTGGTCCCAGATCCGTACGTGTATCTGTTTTGTGCGTGCGGGTTTCGCCACATCGGGTGGGGTTGCAAAAATGAAGGAATGGTCCGATCGCCAGAAGAACACCGTGGTCATCATCTGGGCGTCTTCTTCCCGAATAGCCACGTGTCCTTCTTGGTGATTCCGTCACAGACATCCTGCCATGGTACGGTTTTAGTTGCGATCTTTACTCCAAGTTTATTTGAGTCAGCTTCAAGGCGCCCACGGGGTTCCAAAGAACTGGCTTCTGCCCCCAGGCGCAACAGTTGCACTTCTTTTGCAGGTGTCAAGAAGGACCTTGGTAAATCCATAATGTCGCAGTAATGCTTTTTGTCACTGTATCGGGAGAGAAGCGGGGTGATCCCTTCGTACAGAATTTTAGGAAGTTCCAAAGAATCGACCATCCTCGAAATCTGCACGAGGGGTTCACCCAAAATCATCGTCTTGGTCCTTTGAACGTTCCTACTAGTCAGATGCATCGTTCTTGCTATCGTTTTGGGTGGCAGGTAGTAAACACGCTGTCGTGCTAGCTTCGAGATTTTCCGATCGTCCTCATCACTGCTCTCCGCATCATTCGTTGATGATTCCCCATCTGCGGATTCATCCCAGGTGATCATACGGAGAGTCTCTGCCATCATCGGCGAAACCCGTAGGACCACATTGATTGTGGTACGAAGGGTTAGTCTCATAGGCACAGCATAGGGTTTTTTTCCTGTATTTCGGAGGACCATCGACCGTCGTTCGAAATCCAGGCTCGCTCGTAACGCCACAAGAACAGGAAGTCCGAAGAGAACGTCATAAGTATTCACATCTAGCACGACGACATCTCCCAATGCGTGCACCTTTCCTAATCGGAAAGCAACATTGGTCATCCTTCCCTCTGTCTTAATTTTTTCTTCGTCGGCTGAAACGAGCTGATCTTTATCGGAAAGCATGATGAGATCGTTTCTCCTACCTGCCCTCTCGACCACTCTTAGTGAAATAGCCAACACAGTCGCTCTCGAATCTATAATTGCGTTATAAGGAATTCCCCAAATTTTAATATCGCATTCTGTGGATTTCCACGGGATGGGTTTAATTCGTAAGAAATGATCGTCTTTCTGGATTAACCCTGCCCGAATCGGATCCGAAGTGCCAACCGGGTTTCCTCAGGCGCGGGATTTTTAGACTTTACGTTCGGTATTCGGGCGAGGGCGAATCGTTTTTCGTTCGCCTTGCAGTGCTGTAGCATTTGCTCATTCGCTTGCTCGGAGATCGAAAGCAAATGATCGATCAGAAGCGGAATCCGATGGTCCAAGGCTCGAACGATGTTA